TTTTTACATGTAAAAGCACAAATTTATTTCACCTCATCGCAGCAGGAGACTGCCCGCTTAGCTCGTTAGCAACAAATGAAAAGAAAAGACAGCTGCACAAAGTAATGGATGCTTGTGCCTGATAAATGATTCATGACAAACAGGGAAAATATTATGATGATAAGATGGGATTGGGAAGCTTACATTATTAAAACATGTAGTTCAAAATTAATGGCTTCCTATTTAAATTGCATGGTCAGTTTGAGGAGTCGATAACCATACAATACAGTATCGTCTACAGCAGCGGTCCCCGGGCCACGGACCGGTCTGTGGTACCTGTCCGTGCGAGAGTTGAGGCTCGGATGTGAAATTTATGGTTTTGAGGGTTTTTATAGTTTATTTTAAATTGTTTTTATCGTTAACTCGGTTTCCCTGGGTTTTTTCCCGTGTGTTTATCACGAAGTACAAGCTGGACTCACGCGCTGGACTCCGGGGATGATGCACACAAGAGAATTTATTAAAGAACCATGTCCAATGAGTGTATATACACAGGTGCGGGGCACGGCTAATTACAAAAGGTGAGGGGGGCAGGGCTCCGGGGAAAATCCAGGGGAACACGCTCGTCTCTCTCCACACAATCCAAACACGAATCCACTCGCACACCAGGGAAACAGTCCAGGGAATGATTCTCACAACGATCCAGCGAAGAACAGCCGTTGCTTCCTGTCTTAAATACCGTCCACACTGATGAGGCACAGGCGTTTCTTCCTCCGAGGGCGTGAACCCATAATTAGTTCAGCCCTGGCGAGAGAGAGGGAGAGAGAGAGAGGGAGGTTCAGCTGATCAGCGACCAGCTGAACCTCCAGGCCGTGACAGTGTTATGACTAAACCTTCTTTATTTTGTTGTATTTATCCGCGACACCTTAAAGGTCGGCCCGTGAAAATGTTGTCAGGCATAAACCGGTCCGTGGTGCAAAAAAGGTTGTGGACCGCTGGTCTACAGCATCCTGTGGCGATTATAAACCATAAAATATTTTTCAGATGATCCATTTTCTCTCACAGAGGCGCCGATGTCATTTCTCCTGATGGAAAGTGGCAAAAGGGAAGCGTGGTTCATTATACAGTTACTGATGTTCCAGTCAGGAAACTCACACATGCATTCAGGAAACCTTGACAGAGAAATAGCGCTGAACTGGAAACACTGGTCTTCCCCTAACATTGTATGTGTTTGCTTGTTCACCACTTTGACCCAGCAGCCCCGCTGTGGTTGCCATGTTTTTTCTGTTGATACCTGCTTTGATTTTATCACGTCAGCTCTCAGTGTCGTGAAAACCTGTGTCAGGAAAATGGGAACACTGTGTCTATTGATCTGAGTGAAACATCACCCACATCGACAGACAGCAGGTATTCTTAAGGCCCCTGCAAGTGTCCCATCACTGCTGCCAGTGGTCAAAAGTACAGCAGCACTCGGCCTTGCACACACAGCTGGGAGAGATGTGTAAGATTTCCGAGGCAGTGCGTGCTAATCCCTCCCATCGCTTGGATTATGATGCTGATGCTATTTGACAGGATTTGGATCAGTGTGATTTTAATTTTGACTTTACAGAAATACCGGTTTCCTTT